TGAGTAAACTCACTGCCAGGTGCTTGACTCACTTTTCTGTACATTTCATATTTCAGTACGAAGTACTGAATGCGAATGTTTTACCAGGTGCTCTGTAGGAGCCCCTCTTGATCCCCTGCCAAAAAGGTGAGGGCTTCGTATGTTCTTCTCCTAAGCCTCCTATAAGTCAACTGCTCGGCCTGGAAGTCGGCAAAAATTCGCTTTGCCGATGTTGCCCACGTTATGAAATCTTTATCCTTGTGTTTCCTTGTGGCTTCCCATCTTTTAATGTCAAAAATCACCATTGGGGTTCACTCACTTGATGATCTGGCAATATACCTTTCCTGGGAACCAAATGACCCCCCACCAATGGGTTGATGATTGGATTCTATACTGGCTCCTGTCAGTGGGATGACGAGGACCCATTGGAATCCCAAAGCCAGTATTTTTTAAGTAGAGAATCTCCCAAGCTTTCGTTAAGGTGTCCCGGATGACTTGCATACCCCAACCATCCCCAACCTCCTCGGTCTGAAAAATCAATCAACAGCAGGGTCATTCTTGCCAGTTACAAATCGCTTCAGTTCACTTTCACAGTCATCAAGACAAGTGCTACTTGGTCGGCCATTTGCCACTTACTGAGATGCAGATGTTCAGATCTGGAGTGGTGACTGCCGTGACTGAAGAACTACACTTGGAGTACTCTGTATAGCAAGACTAAAAAAGAAAACCATTGAAACTGAGAAGACTGTTGATGTTTTGAAAGTGAATCCCAAGGTGACTGGATTGTCACTGGGATCCACTGACACTGTGATCGCATTCCAGCACTACTGAGATTACTGAGCGCACTGAGCCGACTAGTTCAAGTCAAGTAGGCATTGCACTGTCTTGATGACTGTGAAAGTGAACTGAAGCAGTTTGTAACATGCAAGGATGCTGTACTGTTGGTTTATTTTTCATTGATGAGTGTATTGAATTCGTTCTTAGGACTCACTGTGCAAATAAACTTAACTTTTGTGGATCCGAGGCTTGAACTGCAACGTCTTGATCCAAGGCGTCGTGTTGAGATGTAACTCCATGCCCACTGCATGTCACTGCGCGCTCCACTGCGCAGACCGTGGGCCACGCCACTGTACTGATCGTACTTTGGCTCAAGCTGGGTGAAGGCCACTGAACAGACTGGCAAGTACGTGAAGCAACCATTGCAATTTTTCAGTTTGTTTGTTGTTTGGTTGGTTCGTGGGTCGATCGGTCGGTCGGTCGGTTGTACCCTTGTACCCTTGTAATGTAGTATCCTGATTAGTGTAGGGCCCCCCCTAAACAATTCTTTGAGTCTCTTTAATGTGGAAATTTTCAAGCGCACGGGTCTGAATCTGTGTAAAATCGAAAAAATGATAGATTTCAATTGATTTCAATTTACTTTCAATTCATTTCAATTTATTTTCAACTGATTTTCAATTGATTCTAATTTCCTTTCAATTGATTTTAATTTACTTTCAAATGATATCAATTTACTTTCCATTGGTTTGATTTCAATTTACTTTCAATTGATTTTAATTTACTTTCAACTGATTTCAATTTACTTTCAATTTACTCTGAACTGATTTCAATTTATTTTCAACTGATTTTAATTGTTTCAATTGATGTCAATTTACTTTGAGTTGGCTTTCAATATGTTTCAAGTGGTTTCAATTGATTTCAATTTATTTTCAGTTGATTTCAATTGATTTTCAGTTGATTTCAATTTACTTTCAGTTGATTTCAATTTACTTTCAATTGATTTCAATTTACGTTCAATTGATTTTCACTTGATGCCAACTTTCTTTCAATGGGTTTTCATTTGATTTCAATTTAGTTTGATTTATTTTCAATTGATTTCAACGTACTTTCAATTGACATCCCATAGTAATCCAATAGAAATATCATAGAAATATCATGGAACTGCCATAGAAATCTCAAAGAATTCCTTCAGGAATCCCATAGTAATCCCATAGATATATCATAGAAACATCATGCAACTCCCATAGGAATCCCAAAGAAATCCCGTAGAAACATCATCGAAATACCATAGAATTCTCATAGGAACCCAAGGGGAATCCCATAAGAATACCATTGTTTTCCCATAGCATCCCTTCAGAAATCCAATAAAAATCTTCTAGAAATATCATAGAAACATCATGGAAATCCCATAGGGATCCAATGGAAATCCCATAGGCACCTTTTTGAAACCCCATAGGAATCCCATAGAAATACCACTGACACCCCATAGAAAATCCCATAGTAGTCCCAGAGAAATATCATAGAAATACCATGGATACCTTAAGGAATCCAATAGAAACCCCATAGAAATATCATAGAAACACCATAGAAATTACATAGAATCTCCATAGAATTTTTGTCAAAGTCCCATAGAAACGCCATAGAAACCAAGGAGGGGATGCCAGGAGAATTCAACAAAGTAAGAGACAAAAGCTATAGCAAAGGAAAGGAAAAGGAAAGGAGAGAATGATTTCGGAAAATTTTTACTTCCAAAAACAAGGTGGACACAATAGAGGACCACCGCAGCAAACATACTATTGAGGATCAGGGTTGCTCATGGACTACCCCCTTGAAAAATTGTTTGGGTGCTGTTTTAAAATTGGGTTTTAATAAGGCATCCTATATTTTGGGAAACTAAACAGTTTGAGAATTCCAAAAGAATGGAGCTAAGAAAGTAAAAAAGAGAAAAGTATTGGCAAAGGAAAGGAAAAGGAAAGGAGAGAATGACTTTGGAAAAAATATTTCAAAAAAAAAGCTGGACACAATAGAGGACCACCACAACAAACACACTATTGAGGATCAGGGTTGC